TGGTTCAGTTTATGGTTCAGAATTGATCCTTGAAAATATGATTTTCTAAATAGGGAATACGATTCCCAGTTGAAGGGAGAGAAAAATTTTTGAAATTCGCCCCTTATTCCGCAATCTTTTGGGCGTCCATAGGATGGATCTCTCATCCCTTCACGATCTCCTAATGAAACAAGTCAAAGTGACTGCAACTCCCCGCTCTCTCTCTCTCTTCTTCTTCTTCCCATTCTTCTCCTTCCCATTGTTAGTGTAGAGAACATTAGTGTGGTCCCCACTGTTCGTTGGTTTATGTTTATTCAGGTCAGCAGTTAACAGTTATTTCAGTTTGTTTTATTAGTCCTTTTATTTTTATTTATTTGCCATGTAAGCAGTAAGGGTAATTCAGTCCTTTCATCTTTATTTAAATATTAATATAAATTGTAGAGTGAGGTGACAATCTCAATCAACACTATTTCTGAATTCTCCTCTTCGTATCCTTCTCCTCTTCTCTTCATCTCCCTCTCTCTCTTCTCTATCTGTTTATTTTGTTTATTTCATATTGAACCTAGGACTGATCGCAGTCCTATTCAACTACTTGGTATCAGAGCCAACCTAGGAATTCTTATGCTAGTCTAATAAGGCCGACTACATGAGAACTTCCTAGGGTTGGAAGTTTCAGCAGAGATATGTTCATCGGCCAGTTCTTGGAGGTTGCTGGTAGTGTGCAATTGATGCCTAAAGGCTTGTAGAACCTCGGAGAGTGTTCAACGATCAGGAAGAATCAGAAGAAGGGAAGAAATCTCAGTTTTAGGGTTCCGACCTTGGTTTGAAGGTGGCAACTGAATTTTTCTGGGTAAGCTAGTATCTTTTCTTGAGATCGAACCTAACAAGGTATTCTTTTTATCAGTCTGGGAGGTGCGGCAGGAAGACTTTGAGTTTTCTCCTCAGTTTTTAGGGTTTCGTTCTGACCTATGATCAGTTTTTAGGGTTTATAGGACTGAAACCCTAAAGATTTTGTTTGTTGCCAATTCTAGGGCAATATTTAGACCAGTTTCAGCATTCAAGAGTGGGTTGTGCTGCTCTCTGGAGAATTAACAAATCTGTTTTCTCTTTCTGGGTGGTGGTTGAACCTTCTAGGTCTACTGTCAAGTAAAATCTGGGTGTAATTTCACCGATTTGAGTTCTAAAAGTTCTGTTTTTGACCTATAAACTGAGAAGGGCTGACAGCAATGGAGTTCAAGAACCAAGGGGAAAGTTTTTTGGGGGTTGGTGGTACTGGTAGCATGACTGAGAACAGTTTTCAGATTACTACTGTCAAGTTTGACGGATCAAATTACTTGGAGTGGGCCCAATCAACCATGATGGCCATTGGGGGTAGAGGGAAACTGAATTATTTGTTGGGGGATGTGAAGGAACC